CTGAATCGAAGCCAGAGGATAGATGAAAAAAAGTGAACTGATGAATACGAGACTCGATAAACTGGCCATAAATGAGTAAAACCATTAGCGATCAAAACGTAGGCTGATGGTTGCCGGGGCTAATGACAGCTTGGGGAGTAAATTAGGCTAGGACGGAAGCGATAATTTCCATTAAAAATAGCCTCGCAGACCCCTATATGATGAGAAGGGTGCATGAGGGTAACAAGTGCATACCACATCATATATGTATATGTGTGTACAACCCAGATGAGTTTGTGCATCTGGTGACTTGGAGCAGGAGTGGGGTCACAGGAGCCAGCGAAGTAAAAAAAAGTGATGCATATGAACCATCTGAGAAAAAACTAAATGGAGTTCAGTTGGCTACGACTTGCTGAATGAATCAACCGTGAGTAGCACTGTGCTCGACAAGGCCACTAGCAGTCAGATTGACTGTGATTGTAGATGCCTCAAGAAGGGAGGCCTGAGCAACTGCAGCAGATCCAGGAGCAATTAATTGTTGGTGCTCGGCAGATGAGGTTTGAGTCGGGGCTGAAGCAGAATTATGGGAAGAAAGGAGACTGGTAGCAGCGGTGGTTTGATTGCCTGTAAGCTCAAGACCGTTAGCGATGCTAGTGCCGTTGCCGAGATCCCTGGATGATGATATTGATCCACTAACTCCATCCACAGATCCAACCAATACACCAGATCCAGCGGCGATGAGACCGCTGCGACCAGTTACTGCTGCCGAGGAATCAATTGACACACTTGTCGTCAGGCCCAAGAGAATCTGCCGCTCCGTGATGGAGTCAACGAGATTTTCTGAATGGCTCAACTTCTGCTGATGGTTTATAATACTAGCGGATTCACTTTTCATAATAGGCAGCTCACCCTCCTCCGGCTTTCCTGGAAGCAAATCAGCCGAGGTCAACCCGCTCAAACTGTTTAAGTTAAGTGTAGCTGAGCTGCCACTAGCAGTAGCCACTGTGAGCTCGGTTGCATTCACAAGTCCGGACAAAGTCAGGGCGTCGATAGTGCCAGATACAGAGGCACTGTTTGAGGTGGTACCTTCAGGCCTGACGGCATTCAAGCACTCCCAACTGATATCAGTAGCAGAACGGCGGCCGCGCATCCAGGCCAGATATTCTTCACTTTTTCCTGGCTCCAAAGCATCTGAGGCGTTTTCTACGCAATTAAGGGTAAGGTGGATGGAAAAAGGCAAATAAGCAGAATAATGAGATATTAACTGGCAAATCGGCACTTGAATTGAGTCAGGAAGACTTAGTGTTGACTTAAGACTTTAGCATGAATGAATCCTAGCTATGAATATGTTCGTCACATGAAGAACGAAAGCTCAGCCCATCTTCGCCAAAAACGTTAAAGGATGCCTCGTGGATTGCATAAACCTGATTACCATAATAATGCAAAACGAATGCAGTAGAACGCAAATTAGCCGAGGCCTTCTGA